TACATATGTGTAACATATCAAATCATGTAGAATGGATTACGTATGTTTGTCCTGAGTGTACTCCTAAACCGATTTTAAATCTGATTTGCTCACTGGGTGCATTATTTTTTAGATTTAGATTTGGATTTACTAGATATACAATTCACAATTTTACAATTTAACTAGCTGTAAGTGGAATTCTGTCTTGAGACAATTATGGCATCGTGCCTTAAGGCAAATTGCTGGAACTTCCCGTACCGTAACGAAATGTTCGAGGAATACTGAATGTTTCCAAATAGATTATTATAAATATTGTAACATTGTCTAATATTTATAAAAATTATATAAACTGAATTGCAGAGTTGAAATTATTTGTAAAGTATATTAGAACTATAGTCAGAATGAAAAATAAAATCTGAAATATTTTCGATATACAAAAAACTAATAAAAAAAAAAAATCAAATATTTGTTAAGACAAGCAGGAAGTTCTTTGAATCATTTAAATCGGACGCTTAGTTCTCTCAAAAACTGCCATTTTTTACATATTTAGCTCCGTATCTTCAAAATGGCTGGGCCTGCCTTTGCCAAAAACTAATAAACACTTCTCCCAATCATTACTAATTGAATGTTTTTTAGATCATTCAAATCGGATACTCCGTTCTCTCAAAAATTCGATTTCTATTTTCTGCACTCTTTGCTCTGTATCTCCGAAACGGCTGGACCTGCATTTGCCAAAAATTAATCAGCTCTTTTCCCTATCAATAGGAATCGAATGTTTTTTGGACCATTCAAATCGGTTGATCCGTGCGCCCGAAAACGTGGACGTAAAAATGCGGACATACAAAACACACGCACGCACACACTCACACACAAACATTTATTTTTTCTGAGGTATGCCAAAATGTTCAGAAACCTTCAAAACGTCGAGAAATGCAATAATTTTCATTTCCGATTTTCGGCCCATTACTATAACCACCCTACGGGAAGTTAATTAGGTTTAATTTTTTTTGTAAATTCAAATGATTTAAAATAAACCGTTCTGTGACTTGCTTATCATGCATTTATTTACTGTAATTCTGGCATATGTTCAAAAAAATGGTACAAAATTCGTCTAGTCATAATTGAAGTTTTAATTGCGTAAAATCATAATTAAAATCTCATCACTACCGTTTGCAAATAAATCCTTTCCACTATGAGTTTCTTTTTTAACTACAATCCCATTGTTTTATTTTATGTATTTTTTCATTATTAAAATATTGTTTTTAATCCGACTCTGTTCTGTCGAAATGTGTACACATGTGCGTTTAATATGCGAATCATATCGCACATGACAAAAAGGAGAGACAATGCCGACGGGGAATAAAATAAAAAAAAAAACGAGACGAGCCGTGGAAAATACATTTATTCTACAAAATGGCTTAATTCCACAGATACAGGACACGTGGTAGATGTAGAACACCCACACATATAAATATATACATACATACATACAGATAGTATTAAAAGAAATTAAAAGAAATTAAAATTCGAAAACCGGTTTTCTGAAATGTCGATTTTTGTATAAACCCGGAATGATTTTAAATTTTATTAGCTCACCGTGTGCATTTACGTTCAACTTAGTTGATAGTAGGATTTATACAAAAACCGACATTTCAGAAAACCGGTTTTCGAATTTTAATTTTACTAAAAAAACGGTTTTAACCGGTTTTCGAATTTTATAAAAAAAATAAATTTTTGCTCGAATATTCTGTAATTTATCCGCAAATTTAGTGTAATTTAGAGCAGTATTTGACTGAATTTATTTATTGTTTAATTTTATAGATAGTAAACAAAATTATTTTAATTTTAATTAGTAGAACTAAAAAATAATAGTTTATCTTGGTTAAATAACTTTGAAAATAATTATTCGTTATTCATGCATCATTTTCACATATGAGAATAAAAATATTTTTATGGTAGTGAAAGGAAAGTTTTCGAATAAATAAAAATAATACATTTCTAAATGAAAAAAATTTATTAAATTAAAAAATAAAAGTAAAAAATATTAGATACATGTTGATACATAAAATTGATAATATCAATTTTAGTTTTGAAAACAATTAAGCTAAACTCGGGTATTTTCTGTTCCGAGAAATTTTAATTAATTAATTTTAAACATTCTAATTGTTTTTTGTTTAATAATAATTAATAATAATAATTAATAAATAGTTTAATAAAATATGATTTAAAAAAACTGAGAACGTCTATCAAATTGTTACTTTGACGTGTTGTTTGTTCACTCACAAAATTTTCTGAAATAGAAAATACTCTCATACTAGCAACCAAATTATGCTTAATTGGTTTTAAAGCCTGATATAATAATTCTATGTTGTTTGTTCTTTTATTTGTGGCTTTTAGGGTTTAAAACTCTTTTTTTTAAGTTTAAGTAGAGGAAGCTTCTTCAAGAAGAAGTCACACTGATTTAAATTAATATATACACAAATATAAAAATCTAAATTAATATATACAAAACTGTTTTGGGAACCATTGCATACTGATAAGGTATCAAATGCTATAGAAATGATATGATTTCAAGAATCAAAATGCTTTCATCTTTTATATTTGGCTATATTTGTCATTTTCCATTTATACAGTGAAAACCGACTTTCTTCACTAAAAAACCGGTTTTCGAATTCTATAATTTTTGTCAAAAACCGGTTTTTTAAAACCGGTTTTTAAAAGCCGACAAACCCTAATCGTGACACGTATTTTATATTTAAGCATGTATCGCCACTTTACAAACGAATGTCCGTCCATCCATCGGCGATACAAAAATGCGACTTCAATTCTCAAACGAATAACTCCGTCGAAATTAATTGTCGCTCTCCACCGTATCTCCACCAATTTTTTTTTTTGCTAAAATCGCATTTGTCGCCCGTTTCTGCGTCGCCGAATCGCATGGCATTGCCAACGCGATCGCAATTCACGTTTATATTTAATAGTTTCGGCTTTGAGCAGATTAAATAAATCAAAAGGCGATTTAAGCCCAAAACAAGTGAGAAATCAGATAGAGAAATAGAGAGACCCGACAGAGAGAGCGATGCGAGAGAATAAACATAAAACACAAACGCAATACGCTTTTTATTCGGGACGATCTCGTCGTGCGTATGTTAAGCTTTTAAATGCGAAAATTGGATTTGGAAACAACATACACAAACTCATGTGGGAGAAAAAACTAGACCAGATTGTGTACGAAGACTAGATTGTACCCGTAAATACACACACAAATATATATATATATATATATATATATATATATATGTATATATATCTTATATATCTTATATATAAAAATGGATCGCAAAATGTGTTGGTAAGCGCATAACTCAACAACGCCTGGACCAATTTGGCCAATTATTTTTTTAAAATGTTCGTTGAAGTCCAAGGATGGTTGTTACGGCGAGAAAAAAATGAATAATTGCCGGGAAAACCCTAATAACAGCTCGTTTCTTCTTTAATCGAGTAGGCAACGCAATTTGTAAAAGCAACAATGATCTATGTCATGACATTTTGTGTAGTTTTTGATAATCTAATTTTTAATATATTTATATAAACATAGAAATATCTTTCTATTAATTAACGAGCTATATTGGCAGCCAAAAACATTGATGTAAATGAATTAAATTTCAAAATTCAAGAACAAATTACAGGCGAATCAGTTGATTCGGCAACTAACCAAGACGATCCACCGGAGTTTTTAAACTCGCTGGATTTGCTAGGCTTGTCACCTCACAATCTTCAATTATAGGTTGGATCGGCAATTATAGTGTTGCAAAATATCGACCAACCGCAACGGCACAAGGTTATCAATAAAAAAACTACCAAACAACGTGATGGAAGCAACTATATTGAAAGGATATAGTATAAAGCAGAAGATGTTCTCGCACCGTGCATCCCAATGATTCCGACTGATGTGCCATTTGAGATTAAACGACTACAGTTTCCAGTGCGTTTATGGTAAAAAAACATCGTTTATCACAAAGCACTACAATGAAAATTGAACTGATTTTTGAATTGTGATTTACATGATTAAAATTACTTACTTTTAAATGTTTATAGTATTTTATTTAATTATTTTTAAATCACACCGAATTATTATCAGGGTGACGGTTCTGTTCAGGATAAATTTTTGCAAAGAATAGAAAAAGGTAGGAACAAAACACCGCCACATTACAAATTTTTTTGACAGGACGAAGTTTGTCGGGTCGGCTAGTATATATATATATATATATATATATATATGTACTAAGAGACTTTAGTATTTGGATAACTTGCAATGTATGGATTTAGGACATGTTTTTAAATTTTTGCAAAATAACTTTTAATTTTCTTTCCGGACAATTTAATTTGTATGCATTAGTACAAACTAGAAAAAATTTACTAAAATTTAGTAAAAACTGTTTCATACACTTTGATATTGAAACTTTGGATAATTCGTAGTTGAAAAGCAGACTTTAGTATTTCCATAATTTGTAATATATGAAGTTAGGACTTTTTTTTTTGGTTTTCCTAAGATAACTTTTAATTTTCATCCTTTACAATACAATTTGTATACACTAGTAAAAAGAAGATAAAATCTACTAAAATCTAGTAAAAACTGTTTTATGCACTGTGATATTGAAATTTTGAAATCGTAGTTGATATACAAATTTAGTATTTGCTTTATATAGATTTTGGACATTTTTTTAGTTTTCTTCGGAGCACTAAAATTAAATTAAATTTTCTAAATACTTTTTAAATCTTAATATATATATATATATATATATATATAATTTATTTAATATATTAAATCTTATTTACGTCGCCTCATCTTTTCTTATCTATCGGTTTACTTATCTATGTTTTCCTCTATGTTCATTACCCATGGGTTCGAATCCTGGCTAACAGCACACGAGTGTCCTATCCACACGTCGCTACTAAAGCGCCTCTATGGCTTCTTGTTGTTTGAATGACATTTTGACAGCACCGAAATAAAAACGACAAAAGATTCTGTTTTATAGGCGAAATAAAATGATTTACTCATGATTATTATTTGGAAAAGTGTTGTGAAAATAAATTACTAAATTTGGAAAGGAATCGGATTAAAATATTTCACAGGAGGAAAAGATTTTCATGGTTGGGTGAGTTGAATGGATAGTTTTGTAATGTTAAATACCTAATTTAATGGGATATTGGATTAATTTGTGTTTATTTGATGAATGTGTTTAGTTGGGCGGTGTTTTGCCCGTGTTTTTGGTTTAATTGAACCTGGTTTTGGGAAAAAATTTGGGGAAATTTTTGGTTGATAGTTTTGAGGTTAGGTTTGGTGTAGAGAATGTATTTGTAACATCATAATGCGTTTTAAAGTACTATGAGCTTTATATGTTATGCCTAATTTATTTAGTGAATTGCAATATTAGGTGGTTTTAACAAAATTTTGTCCTGATAATATGATATAATTTGTTTTTTACACTCTTCTTTGTTTTCTGCTAAAGTACTTGCTTATTATTTAGCCTAAAAATCATTAAATGAGTCCACTTACAAGGCTAAAATGATTAATTTGCACTGCACAAGTATAATTGCACACCTCTAATTTCCTCGTTGATATTTTATCATTGGATCCTTAACTTCTAGGACACAGAAAGTGCCACGTTATGATTGTACTTTAACCCTCAGTCCTTTACATCATGGGTTATGACTTGCAGCGTTTTGTCGGAGACGTGGACGAGGAATTGATATGTCTAATTTGCTCCGGAGTCCTTGAAGACCCCCTGCAGACTTCTGCATGCGAGCACGCCTTCTGCAGGAGTTGCATCACAGAATGGATGTCCAGGGAACCCATTTGTCCAGTCGACAGACAACCGTTGACAACTGCAAATTTAAGATCTGTCCCTAGAATTATGCGAAACTTGTTATCGAGGTTGTGTTTGTCCTGTGAGAATACAACACACGGTTGTACTACGGTTGTAAAATTGGATTGTTTATCCACGCATTTGTTGCAATGTGAGTTCAATCCCAAAAGACTTTGTCCTTGTGACCAGGGTTGTGGACTCGTGATACCCAAGGATGAGCTGAGAGAGCACAATTGTGTCCGGGAGCTCCGGAGTCAGATGAATGCACAACAGAATAAAATCCAGGAGCTCAAACAAGACCTGTCGGAGCACTCTGTCACCATAGATGAACTCAAACGCGAAGTCCACTTACTCAAAGACTTCATACGTGCTATGAGAGTCTCCAACCCTGCAATGCGTGCCATTGCTGACCAGATGGAGCACGCAGAAGTCGAACGCTGGAGCTCCACCCTCCAACGTGCCAGGGTCACCAGATGGGGCGGCATGATATCCACACCAGACGAGGTTTTGAGGATGATGATTAAAAGAGCTGTGAGCGAATCAGGTTGCCCTCCTCATATTTTAGATGAGCTGATGGAGAATTGTCATGAGCGTAGATGGCCGCCTGGTTTGTTTAATTTGGAAACCAGACAGAGCAACAGGAGGCTTTACGAGAGTTACATTTGTAAAAGGGTTCCTGGAAAACAGGCTGTACTGGTTTTGCATTGTGATAACTCGCATATGAGCAGTGAGATGATGATCGAACCGGGTTTGGTCATGATTTTTGCACATGGTGTCGAGTAGAAGGAAATTAATATAAGATTTTTTATTTGTACATTTATATATTTGTAAGCTGATAATATAATTTTGTACCTAAGGTAGTTAAATAGATTTTGTACGACAAATGTCCAAGATAAAATTTGTGATTTGGAGATAAATATTTTGTCTGATTGAATTAGATAATTTTCTCATACGATCTCAAAACATTTTATCACATAAATATATATAATAATATGTTGTCAAATATCTCCCTTCCGCCTTTTTGTATTATAAACCAAGAGCAAAAAAGCGGAAGGGAGATATTTGACAACCTAATATAAATTATCTAAAAGCCTTCAAAAAATTTCATTTAAATTTATTTTATATATATTTGTTTAGCAATAAGTTTTAATTATATTTTTTGCTATTATAGAGCTTTTCTTTAAGTCTGTGCAATTTTTTTATAAGTTGTGATCATCGATGCATTTCTCAGATATAGTATATAATGCTTATTGTACCTTATAATTAATTATTGTTGACAATAAATTAATATTACTATTATATATATATTAATATTATTTGAAATTATTTCAGTATTTGGATTCTATTCGAAAAGACCTTTCAAATGATATCCCACATGCCATAAAAGATAGGACATAAAAATTATGAAGTAAAACTTCTTTACACACTCAGCTAGAATTTCGTAAAATGTGTATATTTTGTGGAAAAATCACATAGTTAAGTTCAGTGATTGATTGCTACATATATTTTACACATGAATTATTAAAAAAAACTAGTGGGGCGCTTGGCATCGTGCCTTAAGGCAAATTGCTGGAACTTTCTGTACCAAAAATTATTTTTTTTTTTTAAAAGATTAACATTTTTGAAAAAAATTTACTCTGACAAAATTAGATTTTTGAGAAAAATAAAATTTTTTATGAAAAAAAAGAAAAAATTATTTTGAAATATTTTGGAAATTCAGAACATTTTTTCAAAGCAATGGTACTGCTTTAACTGCATAGAGACAAAATATCGAAGCGCGTAAGCGTCGCGTCGCCGTCTAACGGATAAACATTGGTACGGAACCCATAGGAATATCTGATAGTTTGATGTCCATATGTGTAATGATCATTTTTGACCGCCAGATAGCTTTTTCTTTACTTTTTTTTACTAGATCTCCGAAACCGCTAGAGTTCTTCATGTTGTTAATACAATTACATTGCTTTTTGAATTACTCAAATCGGACGCTCCGTTCTCTTAAAAACTGAGTTACCGTTTTTGGCACTTTTTGCCCCATATCATCGGAACGGCTAGACCTGCCTTCGCCAAAAACTAATTAGCCCGTCTCCTTATCAATGCGAATCGAATATTTTTTGAATTATTCAAATCGCTTCATCCGTGTTTCCGAAATCGTCGACGAAAATTTGTATCCGAACACACGCACACACACACACACATACATCCATTTTTTCTAAAGTATGCCAAAATGTTCAGAAGGTTTTGAAACGTCTATATAATAATATATATATCCGATTTCGACAAGTTTGCATTCGTTGGAAAGGTCTCGGGCTCCGCAAGGTTTATAGCTAAGAAAATTAGTGGTGCATGGCATCGTGCCTTTATGCAAATTGCTGGAACTTCACGCACCGTAATTAAAAATTTGAATAATGACATTAGTGAGAATTATCAGAATTATGCCGCAAAGAATAATAATGTACACGCACTGAATTTCACCATTCAATCAAAAATTGCTGGCGATTTGGTGACATACCAATGATTCCGACTGGCTTCCATTTGACTTCAAACGATTACAATTTCCAGTTCGCCTTGCGTTCGCAATAACAAGTCGCAAGGCCAATCGCTTAATAATATATTTCGATAAATTTCAAATTATGCGGGATCATTTAGAAAATCATTGTTTTTTATATGGGCAGCTATATACGTTGCCTAACAACAAAAAATGTGGTTTACCAAAGAGCACTTCAATGAAATGGATAATTGGCGGATTCACTTTCTTTTACTTAGAGAAGTTCAACTAAAAAACACTTCATTTTTGTAATCGAAATAAATTTATTTCTGTTGTATAATAAAATCAAGTTTATCCTTTTCAATTATAAAACAAAGAAAACATTTCTTCATCTTTCTCACGAAACCATCTGGTGGCGAAACGGAGTATATATATATATATATATATATATATATATATATAGAATTTTATGATATGAGTGGAACGAATATTAATTGTTTAATATGAACAAAACAGCACTCAGATTTGTTTAACACAACTTTATTTTATGATTACAGACGTTTCGAGACCATGGTGTGTCTCATCTTCAGTGTAATTTCAAAAACAGTTACTTATATACTACACATTCTTTAATAACTTATTTAAATTTCATTTAATTTTTGATATACAAAAAACACCAACTATTCCTTGCAATGCTTGACACAGTACTAAAGAGACATACTCGTATAACACTTACAGAAATATTCTAAACAAATTTGAAGTACTTATATAGATGGAGACAGAGAGGGTATCATTATAATGTAAACAGAAGGAGTGCTATCGCATACAAAATCGATAAAAATGAAAAAACAAATTAATTTATTGAAAAGAATAAGATAAATGAAAAAATTTATAAATTATTAATGATGTTTATATAAGTGTCATGTAAAATATTTGTGTCGGTTCTTAGATTTATGCTATTGTTAGTCCGAACTATTAACATTGATTCTGCCATGCTCCGTTTAAATAAGTCTTTCTCATGGAATAAAATTTGGGGATTGTCAAAGTCAAACTTATGGTTGTTGATATTAGCATGATCCACAAGTGTACTTTTAAATTTTTTGTTATCTATTTTTTCACATTGTAATTCATGTTGCCTGAGTCTCTTTTCTAAGTTCTGGCAGGTCTGGCCAATATAAGAGCAATTACAATCCAAACAATTTACTTTATAAACTATATCTTTCTTTTTTGTTAATGGAGTTTCATCTTTAATTTTGGAATATAAAAATTTTAATTGTTTTAATGGAGAAAAAGTAATACGAATATTGTGTTTACTATACGAATATTACTTTTTCTCCATTAAAACAATTAAAATTTTTATATTCCAAAATCGACTCGACTCGACTGATGCAATATGTTTCACATTTCACAACTTGTTGTTGTTTTGAATCGACCCGAACAGTACAGATGAGAATTACAATGTAACAATAATAATTATAATTATAATAATGATGACACTACAAGTCAAGTGATACATAAAATTATATCTATGAAATTATGTATGAAAGAGTTGGTAGATAGGATAACCACATATTTTTTCTCAATTCCTTTCAAAATTAATAAGTAGTATATATATATATATATATATATATATATATATATATATATATTCACCTAGTGGTGAATTTACTTGCTATAGTTGGTGGCGCCTCTATGGAGAGTGGAAACAATTAAAATTGAAGTCACGCCAAAGCGACCGCGTTTGCGATCTACATATTGAAATGAAAATTTTTGCATTTCTCGACGTTTTGAAGGTTTCTGAACATTTTGGCATACCTCAGAAACTAAATGAGTGTGCGTTTTGTATGTCCGCATTTTTTCGTCCACGTTTTCGGGCGCACGGATCAACCGATTTGATCGGTTTAAAAAACATTCGATGCCTATTAATAGAGAGATGTGCTGATTAGTTTTTGGCAAAGGCAGATCCAGCCGTTACGAAGATACAGAGCAAAGAGTGCCGAAAATAAAAATCGAGTTTTTGAGAGAGCGGAATATCGGATTTGAATGATATAAAAAACATTCAATTTGTAATGATTGGGAGAATAGGTGATTAGTTTTTGGCAAAGACAGGTCCAGCCGTTACGGAGGTACAGAGCTAAATGTGCAAAAAATAGCAGTTTTTGAGTAAACTAAGCGTCCGATTTGAATGATTCAAAGAACTTTCTGCTTGTATTGACAAAACAATTGCTTTTGAGGATATAAAATTATTACACGTTTTTCCATATTTTCCATAAAATATTTTTGTAATTTTGGATTAAAAATTCAAAAAAGCACCCAGGCTAAGAACAGTCTAAGCGCCACTCTGGTACAAATGTTTACCCAAGTGCGTTTAGACTGTTCATGTATTGGAGCACTTTTCCGATTTTGTGCGAAAACTATTAAAAAATGTGAAAATGCCGCCAAGCTAAGTACAGTATAAGTGAAAATGTCGCACAGAATTATTTGCAAATACGTTTAGACTGTGACTATGCGGGAGCTCTTTTTCAATATTGTGTAACTATTGGGCAACTATTTTTTTTTAAATTGAATTCGAAATGAAATGACGATTGTTAATGTTCTGGAGATAAATTGATTTATGATTTACATTTGATTTGCTCAGATATAACAATATAGCAAAAAAATAATAATATATATTTGTAATAATATATTTGAAAATGTTTAAAATTTCTCGAATATTTCATTACGGTACGGGAAGTTCCAGCAATTTGCCTTAAGGCACGATGCCATACACCACTAGTTTATACTTCTATCAACTATGAGTATTAATAACATATAAACAAACTCAACAAAGTATTTATTTACCACGAAAAAAAAAAGTTTTAATATAACTAAATTAATTCATTACACTATCATTGCATTAATTGTATTGATTTTAAACAATAAAATAGATGTTTCGTTTCGCTTTATGACGATAATAATATGCCAGAAGCAGAATTATTTTGCAATTAAAATCATCATTAGAGAATAGTTTGATTTTGATTCGGACAATCGTTAATTAGATCGATATAATTAATTAGTATTCAGGAGGCATGAAATATTAATTAAATTTCAAACAGAATATATATATATATATATATATATATATATATATATATATATTCTCTTTAATCAAGTCACACCATAGTATTGCCTGATGAGATATATAGTGAGTGTTTCTCAAAAATTATATAATCTCAAAAATTTCATTCTGAAATAATTCTTTTTGTCTATGCATGACATTTTATTTTACAAAAAAAATATTTCATATTAATTAAGTTACATCATAGTATTGCCTGGTGAGGTGAACACACTGTGAAATGTATATCACAAATATTAACTCAAGAAAAAATTCATATTTTAAGTGAATTAATTTTTCAAATCCTATTCATATGTGTATTATACAATCTGCCATACATATACTACTGTATCTTATGTTAATTTCTGTCTCATCTCAGTTGCTTTTTGGCAATAATAATGTAGACATTTCATTTTTTCTTATTCATAATCACGAATTTATTATACATGTTCTAATATTGTCTAGGCTCATAAGTAAATTGAAATTTTTAGCACATTTCGTTTGTTAAAATATTTTCAATGTCAAACAATGACATGTCGTTTTTTGTAATTTTTTCCATTTATTTCTACAATCTATGTTTCTATAATTCAAATATTCCTAAAAAATTCTCTTAACAAACTTCAGAAAGATTTATCAAAATCCGAATAATCGTTTAGGGGAAGTGTATTTACATACATCATTACAGAAGAATTTTATATATAAAATATAAGTCTCGATGAGATGAGCTTTTTAAATCTATGCATTTATTTTATTTCCATTTTTATTTTTATTTTTTTTTTTATGAAAATATTCGTTGTGATATTAATTGGTTTATTTCATATTTTCAAAAATATTCATATTTTTTCCCATTTATGGCATTTTATTTTAGAAAAAAAAATTATCATATATAGTATTGCCTGATGAGGTATGAATTGCACAAAAATAAGTCTATTAATTAAAATTAAACGAAAATCTGTTATTTTACATTACAAATTAGATTCACACGATTTTAACACATTTCGAAATTGAATTATATAAGTGATGCATTGACACATACGTTATGTAATTTCATTAATTAAATCTAATTGCAGATTAATTAATGAAATTTGATCAAACAATCGGAGTTATATTGACACATATGTACATATATATACTAGCTGACCCGGTAAACGTTGTTTCGGTAAGTAAGGAATATTCTAAACAATTTCTAGAGAATCAAAAATAATAATACTTTAAGTGTATAATGATGTGTCGTTTGAATGCAATATACAATGAGGTATTACAAAAACAATAAACCCCATCTAATTTGTCTATATTTTGTCTTTATCTTTAATAAAAATTTAATAAGAAGTATATATGTAGAGCAGGGCGAGGCACAAAGGTCCAATTTGACTTTGAGCAAATATAAACTATATTGTGAAAATCACACCAATTTTATCACAACAAATAACACATATCAAACGAACAATTATCTGACTACGTTCAGTAGACTGCCTTCTACTTCATCATTGTAATAATGTGCTTTTTTGATGTTTTTTAAAAATTTGTTATCTAGATCTTTTTACCCTATAGGCGGGGTAACTTGGAACGGTCAAGTGGCAAACTTCTTATTTTAATTTTAAAGGTATTTTACAAAATGATTACATTTTTAACTAATGCTAAAAAACTACCAACATAAAAATTGCTTTTATTATGGATTTTCAAAGATTACCGTTTATCTCCCAATATCAAAGTCATAAGAATCAAGGTTATAGCTGGTTAAACATCTTTTTCCCTTTACTTTCAAATAATGTTGTTAAACAATGCTTTAGCTTTACTGGTTTTTGACACTTTGGTCGTGGAACTTTTAACCCCGTACCTTCATATATTACTAACCATTTTCCGATGAATTCTGGGAAATTATAACTGAGAATAAGTTATTCGACAAAATGTACATGTAAATGTAAATGTATGTAATGCACTTCTTCAGTTGTTGCATTTGCGATATTTCGCATTCTTCTTGCATTACGGCTTTGTTGGGAAAGATTCGATCGTCTTGGTCGCGGCATTATTAATTAAACTATACTTCACCTTATATATATATATATATATATATATATATATATATATATAGAACCAAGAACTAATATTCATTCACTATATTTAACATGAGGTAGTGGAGGTTAATTTCAATGACAGAAACACCGAATGACAGTTGACAATCGAAGGTAAATGTCATGAAAGAAATCATTGATAGTGTCATAGATTGAATAAACTACATGGATAGTTTATAAATAAATAATTCAGAATTAGAATAAAAAACGGGATAAAAAGTATTTCATATGTTTCTCCTGGCTCTAAATTACCTCCCTGCCACCAATAGATTACTGAGCCACTGCAACGCGTGGCCGGGCTAGCTAGTATATTTAGAATTTTCATTAGTATATATATAATGAATTAGAATGAAAAAACGGGACAAAAATCAATCACGTATGTTTCTCTTGGTTCTAAACTACCTCCCTGCCAATTTTCATCTAAATCGGTTCAGCCATTCGTGAGTTATAAGTGTTCTAGCTTAAGCGATCCACTTTTATATATATATATATATATATATATATATATATATAGATAAAAATTTTAATTAATAAATAAAATAACAAAATAGTACAAATAGTGACAAATGAAGATTAATGTTGTAGAGAGTGTAATTAGAGACAATAAACGAGTAATTAGAGATGAGGTGTGTTAATAGCGTCGAACGAAGTTAACAATAATTTAATTAATTTATTTATTTCTTGTACAATTCTATCGATTGTGTTTCCAGAATATTTTATGATATTGATTTCTATTTGTTCTATTTTATGATGATGTCTAATTTGAAAAATCGATTTTGTTTTCAGAATATTTTATGATTCTTATTCTAATTCTAATTGTTCTATTTTACGATGATGTCTAATTTTATGTTTTTCTTTTTTTCAGACTGGTAAACACTTTCATAGGACGTCCCTACTCATCAAGGCATTTAATCACAAATTTCGGCTCGACTTGGAACTGAACACGTAAGTTTTACATATTTATTTATTTATTTATTTATTTATTCATAAGCATATTTCAGACTCTTGTCAACATTCACATAATTAATTTAGTAAATTAATATGTTTTATCAATATTTTATACAATTTGAATTATAAAAAAAAATTAAATTTTATTTTCAATGTAACATCTATTAACTTTTTGGGCATAACGTTGTAACTTGTTCCTAGGAAAATGTTTTGAGGAATTTATTATATACTACACACTACTCAACATTTGTTAACATAAGTATATCAATATATTGTATAACAATTTGAATCGTTTCGAACAAAATTATGTAACAAAATTTATAGACTTGTAAAATTGAATACTGACCTTCTTGTTTAAACTAAGAAGTCAAGTTTTTAGTGCATTTTTCTGTATTTTTAGTAATTTCTTAAATAATTTGTTCAAACATGTATATTTTATTATATATTAATGAAAAGTAGATAACATTATCTATAAATCGATGTATAACAATTTTAGTCGTTTGGAACAAAATTATATTAAAAGAATTGATTGAATTTTAAAATTGAATACTGAGCTTCTTGTTTAAACTAAGAAGTCAAGTTTTCTAGTCCATGTTTCTGTTCTTTTAGTAATTTCTTAAATAATTTGTTCAAACATGTATATATTATTATATATCATTGAAAAGTAGATAAAATTATCTATGAATCCGTGTATAACAATTTTAGTCGTTTGGAACAAAATTATAATAAAAAAATTAATTGACTTTTAAAATTGAATACTGAGTCACTTATTTGAACCAAAATGTCAAACTGGTTTTGAATATTTTGATCAATTTTTTTAAAAAAACTTCAAACATGTATATATTAGGTTGTCAAATATCTCCTTTCCGCTTTTTTGCTCTTGGTTTAATACAAAAAGGCGGAAGGGAGATATTTGACAACCTATTATTATTATATATTATTGAAAAGAAGATAAAATTATCTATGAATCCGTGTATAACAATTTTAGTCATTCGGAACAAAAACTGAGTCAGTAAAGTGATCTCTAGTACTAATGCATTTTTACCAATTGCAAGTAGTTGTAAGGTTGACATCGTTAAAATAAATAATTCATAATTATTTACAATTTAATTATTAATTACAATCGTTACAGGCGTTACAAGCGTTGTAAATCCGCTTGTAAAATATCATAAAATTCGCCTCCGGTCGCATTTTCTCTGTGCGAAGTCGCGCGAGCGAAAAATGTAATTAATAGTTTTTGAATATATTAAAAACTCTGCATGATGCTGGCAACGAAATTCTGGCTAGGGCAGTGCTAGCCAAAGTTAGGGCTTAGTACCCCCAGAGGTAAAATAAAATTTTGAAAATGGAAATTCTGTTGACTTGAAAGCCAAGGTCCTAAAGCAGTGGTTCCCAACCTTTTCAATGTCACTGCCCCTGTGAACAAGTATGGGAATTGAGTTTACCCCTAGTTAATTTAAAATAATTAAAACCACACAAATTTGAACGAAAATACGTTTATTATCCAACTCTATTTATAGAACAAATGTTTGGTCTATAATTTTGGCAAAATATTCTTTTTCTTTTTGTGTTTTAGGACTTAAAGATATTATAGATCACAATTCATAGTCGAACAATTACATTAGTCACCAGAAAAAATATGCCAAAAAAATAATATAAGAAATTCAAAGTCGCCAAGACATTATAAACGACAAATTATGGTCGAAATATTACATTACAGTCTGTAAATTTGAAATAAAATTGTAAAAGTAATAAAAATTATATATTTTTTAAATTATACTTTGTATTGTCAAATAAAATAACGCTAATGGTGGTCCCTGTATTAAACAAATATTAGAAAGATTACAAGTCTAAGTGAAAACTCCTCACAATTATATTAGCAATTACCTTTATATTGTGACTATACAGAAACTCTTTTAAAATTTTGTGAATATTATTGATATTGATATTTTGTGAGTATCTTGAAAAGTTTCTAGATACAGTCTAAAATACAAGCTAGTACAAATATATTTGCAAAAGCGTTTAGAATGTGATTTTGCGAATCATTTTCCCAACTTTTATTTTTGAAAATGCTGTGGGAAAAGAAACTACTGAATATTTTTTTCATCTTTTTTTTAGTTGAAAATATATTTCTTACGGTTATAATAATGAAAAATAATCTCATAAAATAGCTGTTTAGATTGGTGATGCAGTAATTAAGAAAAAAAAATACAAATTTTTAGATAAATTTATCTATTTTTCAATGATATTTCACAATATATATATATATATATATATATATATATTTTAAAAAAATTTTTTGAAAAAAAATTAACAAAAACATAAAAAATATAATCAACTTGACATCTTGGTTTAAACAAGTGGCTCAGTATTCAATTTTAAAAGTCAATTAATTTTTTTAATATAATTTTGTTCCAAACGACTATAAACGGTTATATACAGATTTATAGATAATTTTATCTACTTTTCAATGATATATAATAATATATACATGTTTGAATAAATTATATAAGAAATTACTAAAAATACAGATAATGCACTAGAAAACTTGACTTCTTAGTCTAAACAAGAAGCTCAGTATTCAATTTTAAAATTCAATCAATTTTTCTAATATAATTTTGTTCTAAACGACTTAAATTGTTATATATAATTTTCTAGATAATTATATCTACTTTTCAATGATATATAATAATATATACATGTTTGAACGAATTATTTAATAATTTAACAAAAAATGCATTAGAAAACTTGACTTCTTAGTTTAAACAAGAGGCTCAGTATCCAATTTTAAAATTCAATTATTTTTTTTAATATAATTTTGTTCCAAACGACTAAAATTTTTATATACGGAATTACAGATAATTTTATCTACTTTTCAATGATATATAATAATATATACACATGTTTGAACAAATTATATAAGAAATTACTAAAAATACAGAAAAATGCACTAGAAAATTTGACTTCTTAGTTTAAACAAGAAGCTCAGTATTCAATTTTAAAATTCAATCAATGTTTTTATTATAAGTTTGTTCCAAACGACTTAAGTTATTGTACATAATTTTCTATATAATTTTATCTACTTTTCAATGATATATAATAATATATACATGTTTGAACAAATTATTTAAGAAATTACTAAAATACAGAAAAATGCACTAGAAACTTTACTTCTTAGTTTAAACAAGAAGCTCAGTATTCAATTTTAAAATTCAATCAATTTTTTTATTATAATTTTGTTCCAAACGACTTAAATTGTTATACACGGATTTGTAGATAATTCTATATACTTTTCAATGATATATAATAATATATAGATGTTTGAACAAATTATTTAAGAAATTAATAAAAAATACAGAAAAATGCACTGGAAAACTTGACTTATAAGTTTAAACAAGAAGCTCAGCTTAAAATTCAATCTTTTTTTTATTATAATTTTGTTCCAAACGACTTAAATTGTTATACATAATTTTGTAGATAATTGTATCTACCTTTTAATGATATATAATAATATATGCATTATTTAAAGAAATTATTTAAGAAATTACTAAAAATACAGAAAAATGCACTAGAAAACTTGACTTCTTAGTTTAAACAAGCTCAGTATTCAATTTTAAAATTCAATCAAATTTTTTATTATAATTTTGTTCCAAACGACTAAAATTGGTAAACACAATTTTCTAGATAATATTATCCACTTTTTAATGATATATGATAATATAAACATGTTTGAACTTTTTTTTTTTAATTTAGCAAAAACAAAAAAATATAATTAACTTGACATCTTGGTTCAAACAAGTGACTCAGTATCCAATTTTAAAAGTCAATCAATTTTTTTATTATAATTTTGTTCCAAACGACTTAAATTGTTATACACGGATTTGTAGATAATTCTATATACTTTTCAATGATATATAATAATATATACATGTTTGAACAAATTATTTAAGAAATTACTAAAAATACAAAAAAATGTACTAGGAAACTTGACTTCTTAGTTTATAAATGTTAATGTGGATCGTTCCCTCAAAACGTTGGCAAACACTGTTCTGAATAGAAATACGTGTATGTATGTATAAATGTATATATATATATATATATATATATATATATATATATATATTCGAGTGTATTTCTATTTAGTGGGCAAAAACACATGTACAAAGTGTCGTAATTAGCGAGAGCAGACATTTGACACGGTCGCGAACATTAATTTAAAATTTTGTTGAAACGCTTGAAACTAAAACTGCACGGAATATTATTAATGTCACCGATGGATGCACTTTTATATCATAGTATAAAATATACATGTAATTATATTTAAACAGATGTTTTCGTATCATTGTGTTAGGGCAATTTTTCTCCGAAACGGCTTGACCGATTTTTATGAAATTTTATAATAGACTGAGAAACTTTTGGACTGACTTTTGTAAACGTTTTTCACTAAATTTTGAGTCTGAGCTTATAAAAAAGCTCAAATTTATCTGTTATTATTTCTAACACAATTCTTATATTTAGAAGCGTAAAGGTTACCATCGATAAAATCATGATAAAACTATAAACTTTGTTTAAACTAAGAAGACAAGTTTTTTAGTGCATTTTTCTGTATTTTTAGTAATTTCTTAAATAATTTGTTCAAACATGTGTATATTATTATATATCAATGCAAAGTAGATAAAATTATCTATTAATCCGTGTTTAACAATTTTAGTCGTTTGGAATGAAATTATCATAAAAAAATTGATTGAATTTTAAAATTGAATACTGAGCTTCTCGTTTAAATTAAGAAGTCAAGTTTTATAATGCATTTCTCTGTATTTTTAGTGATTTCTCAAATAATTTGTTCGAACATGTATATATTATTATATATCATTGAGAAGTGGATAAAATTATCTATAAATCTGTGTACAACAATTTTTGTCGTTTGGAACAAAATTGTAATAAAAAAATTGATGGAATTTTAAAATTGAATACTGAGCTTCTTGTGTAAACTAAGA